TAATACACAGGCTGATCACAATCCTGATCAAATGGGCGAAGAAATCTGAAGTCCAATGTGAGTTTTCAGAATGCCAAAATCCCAAGTGAAAGAAAGGGGCAACTATTTTCTTATTTCGCTCCTGGAAAAGAACACTTTGCTTGCATAGGTGCATCTTCATATATATATTTATTACCATTTGGACTATCTCCTAATCAAAGCGCGTCACACGACTGTGCAAAATTATTTCACGACGCATGCTCTCAGTAGTAAGGCGAAGGGAAAAAAGGAATGATCCCCGTCTGGGGATTTGCAAAATAAGAAATAAAAATCAAATCACTTCCAAAGGGTGTAACAACTGGATTTTTTTCTCTGTATGCAACGTTTTAATTGGACTAGACTTGAACATCCAGCCTTGAATTTCTCAGCCTTTAATTAACAGCACACGTCTGAAGTTCGGTATTAGTTCAGCACAACCACACAGATTTTTGCTAGTTTTTGCCACTTCCTAGTTTTCAATGGGTATCATGGCACGCTGGCATGGGTACCTATTGGTGAGTCACACTGGGGACTCTGAATTAAGACCTACACTCTCACTTTTATACTTTACAAGAATTATTCTTCTTCTGCTCCCAGTTGTGCTCTAGATCAGAGGGATCTCCAAATTTGGCAACTTTAAGACTGCTGGACTTCAACTCCCAGAATTCCTCATGGCTAGCTGGGGAATTCTGGGAGTTGAAGTCCGCCAGTCTTAAAGTTGCTAAGTTTAGAGAGCCCTGCTCTGGATAAAAGCTTACTGGGATTTCTGAGTAGCTAAAGGCAAAGGAAAGGGGGAAAAATATTTTTTGCTAAATTACTTTAACTACCAGGATGTTGGAGGGGTTGGTGGAACAGCTTAGATGAATAATTCCTTGCAATTACTGTATCCCAAACTTCACAACTAGCTCCATGTGGCGCCATTGTGATCCACTGAGTAATGCAATTTGGATCTTCTACTTTAGTTATATCAATCTACCCTTGATGTAAAACAAGTGATCTGGACTAGAAAATAAAGGTTGATATCCTTGGCAACATCTGCGCACATGAGCTGGCATTGAAAGGACAACCTACCTCAAAAACATCAACTAAGGAAATTACTCACCAATATTCCCAGCCCTGTCTTTCTAGCAGCCAAAGATTTAAAAGGGGTATCTTGTGAATTTTGTTGCTTCTCCTTCCGATTTTGAGTTCAAGCTATCCATTGATCCACTTCCTCCCCTCCCCCAGTTTTATTTGCAATTTCAGGAAAAGAGAAAGCCAATGTCCCAAGTGCATGACGCTACCACATCACCTCCGGTGACCAGCAATAACGGGGCGGGGATGATGATGATGATGATGATGGGACGAAGATTCAGGGAGACATTTTGGAATTAACTTGCTTGCCATCGCAAAATTCTTTCTGTAGCTGTAGCAGGCAAGGCTTTTACCAAAACAGCAGAGGAACTGGGAGCAGTCTACTCCGAGGAATTCAGAAAGGATGGGAAAAATCGAGAATCTTTGCACGGTTCTACGCGGCTGTGAGAATTTAGCACGTCATGATTTTCAAAATAAAGGGACCTAAAAGCCAGCAACTGGGAGCTTGGTTCAGATAACCAACACGGGTCTGTCTAATTCTGCAACGAAACGTTTGGGAGGATGAAGCTACAACTGACAAACCAACTCTGAAGAAAAAAGATCTTTCTCTAAAGTTCAAGAATGTTTCTTGTGTTTACACTGCAAACGGGGGGGGGGGGGGGGAATGTTCTGGGCATTTTTCTTTTGGGTCCTGTCCTCCTCTTTTCTTCCTACTGTTAACCGGAGCGGCTAGCCCATGGGTAGGCAACCTTGGCTCTTTTATGACTTGTGGACTTCAGTTCCCAGAATTCCTCAGCCAGTTGAAGTCCACAAGTCGTAAAAGAGCCAAAGTTGCCTACCCCTGGGCTAGGCCGATGCAACATGCCAGCACAAACACATAATTGATTTAATTTAATTTTCCCTTCTGGGATTATTTCCATCAACCAAATGCAACTGAGAATATAACCGACATGATTTAGGCAACAGGCAGCCTTTGCGTGAGAGGAGATGGGGAAGGAGAGAGAGAGAGAGAAACAACGGTTTTAAAAGCTACGACGGGGAATAATAACGCAATGTGAAATGTTTACGCTGCCACTCTTTGACGGAGAATTCCACTTAAGGACAAAAATGAACAATGGGAGTTGAAAGGGCCAGGGGGAGCCCAAAGCAAAGAATTATCCAGACAAGCTAGCCAACTGCTTCGTTCCTAAAACAGTGAACCACTCAGAAACATATCCGACTAGAAGACTGGGGGGGAAAAAATAGCCTTAAAATATTTAACAGCTCCCATACAGCTGCCTGCAAACAGGACTGAACTCCTGCAACTTCTTCCTAGAGACCCCAGCCCAGGTGGAGGTGTGGTTTGCACCTGTCCTCGCTGCTCCAAATCTTTTTGGGCCCAGCCCCACGGCAAGCAGAATTTCTGACTGCGGATGTTCGCCTCCCAAACCCCTTTTCAAGGGCCCCGATCCCGATCTCAAGACGCCATGCCCCCCCAAACCAAGGGCCAACTCTCTTTTCTAAGTAATGTTTTTGCTCCTGTCTGTCCCCACATAAAACTTGCTTCCAAATTTTTCACCAAAGAATTACAAGATTGCCCCCCCCCCCACCTCTGGGAAAGAAAGAAAGAAAGAAAGAAAGAAAGAAAGAAAGAAAGAAAGAAAGAAAGAAAGAAAGAAAGTCTTAAAAGGCACTAGTTCAAAACAAAAAAGGACTGTCCTGCAATATTCTACGTTAAAAGCCAATGGTATTGCTATATTCGGGATAGAGAGGAAAATATATAAAGCCACTCATTGCTATTCTTTGCGGAATCCGTGACTTTAAGAACAGACGTGCAGATCTTTCATTCCTCTCCCCCCAAAGTTAAAACAGTAAATAAAATTCACTCCAAATCCTAGAGGTGCTTTCTGCTGGCCAAAGCTCTTCCCCTGGCAGCTGATAAAAACCCCTGAAAATAGGGGTGGGCTACCCACCAATACTTTTAATATACAGAGACAATGTCAGCGTCTCCATATTAAAAACTGAGGTAACAGCAAGGTTTTTTTTGCTTCTCCTTTCCAAACTGGGCACAGACCCCCCCCCAGGTCTTTCAAAATTTCAATGATTACCCCCAACGTTTAAAAGACAGTTCCTCTAAAAGAAAAAGGCAACCCCACCCTCAAATTAAGACAAGCTAGTGAGACAGGCATTAACGCTTAAAAAAAAAAAGAAGAGGAAGTGACAAGCATTTAAAAAACGAAGTTAAGGGAATCAGGTTGTGGTCGTTTGTTTAGTGTAAAAAATAATAATAACGAGGCTTCAAAACACACAAAGGGAAGCAAAAGAGACGGCGACTGCCTTGCTGTGCTTTTTTTTTTTTTCTTCTCCTTCGGATATTATTTCGGTGACCCCTACAAAGTATAAAAAGAACGGTCATCTCCAAAATAAAATAAAATAAAGCTTAGGAGAAGAAGAAAAAAAACCTCAGCACAAACATCTTACAGCCTTTAGAGACAGCCTGTTTTGAAAAGGCAGAAGGGAAGGATGGAGAAGCGTTTCTAAAAAGCTTTGTTTATGCAAAATAACATTTAGTGTGTGTATCCATAATAGTTTAAAAGGCATTACCATTACAACGGCTGAAAATGGTGGAAGCTGCTCATATATTTCTCTGCTCTGTCTGCCGCGTTTGGGGTACGGCTGAAAAATGCACCCTTAATTAAATTAATCTACTGGGTAAAAGGAAACGGAGGGGCATGAGGAACAGTACGATAAGACACTGTTCCGTGAATATATTTTTTTTGTTTTTCGAAGGGCAGGCTGGTCCGCTTTAAATTATCCTGGTCCTGTCGCCAAAAAAAAAAAAAAAAAGGAAAACCAAATAAACCAAATAAACACCTTGCCTATCACGAGAAGAAATGGGAGGCAAAGGGGGTTATTTTGGAGAGCTCTCGCCACGACTGTGCGAACCCACTGGTCCAGTTCACACAAGCTTCTCAAAAGAGCTGTTCACAGACAAGCATTCCTTCTTCAAAGAAATCTCTGTAGCTTTAAGGTAGTGCAAAGTGAGAAGGGGAAAACCTCCCCAGCTTCCTTCTGTACATGTGCAGGTTTTTTTTCCGCTTTTCAATCATTTCTCAACGATCCCAACTGTGGAGAAATCTGGATGCAGAGGACAAGAAGGGTTTTAGGACAGGGGGAGGCCACCTTGGCTCTTTTATGACTCGTGGACTTCAACTCCCAGAATTCCTGAGCCAGCACGGAAACGTCTCCATTTCTCCTCAGAATGGCTGGCTCAGGAATTCTGGGAGTTGAAGTCCATGAGTCATAAAAGAGCCAAGGTTGCCTACTACTGATCTAGGCCAGGGGGAGGGAACCTTGGCTCTTTTATGACTCGTGGACTTCAACTCCCAGAATTCCTGAGCCAGCACAGAAACGTCTCCATTTCTCCTCAGAATGGCTGGCTCAGGAATTCTGGGAGTTGAAGTCCATGAGTCATAAAAGAGCCAAGGTTGCCTACTACTGATCTAGGCCAGGGGGAGGGAACCTTGGCTCTTTTATGACTCGTGGACTTCAACTCCCAGAATTCCTGAGCCAGCACAGAAACGTCTCCATTTCTCCTCAGAATGGCTGGCTCAGGAATTCTGGGAGTTGAAGTCCACGAGTCATAAAAGAGCCAAGGTTGTCTATCCCTGGTTTAGGAGCAAGCCTGGTCAGACAAGGGCTTTCTTAAGCCATCTAGTTCCAACACTGTGGGTCAACAGCTGATCGCCACTTCCGTGTGAGGAAAGACGTTTCTGACAAGAGATTACACACAAGTCCTCATCCAATTCCCCCCCCCTTTGCATCCAGATTCTGCAGGGCCCGAATACTGAATAAGAAGAAAAGAAATAATCCTTGTTTTACATGACTGGCCCCCTTTTTTTTCTCAATTAAGAATGCAACTCTTTAAAAACTGTCAAATGGTTTTATTTCTCTCTAGTCTTTGCAGCAATTTCTTGTAAAGTGGCTTTTTGGAACAAAAAAAAAAATTAGAGAAGATTATTAGAGATCTTTTTTTTTTTTTCCCCCACGCGCACATGCTTGTGTGTACGTGTTTGTGAACCACACACGCGCACACAGACACACCCCTTGAACCCGAACATAATATGCTGTGCTTATGCTCGTGCATTTAGCACACGTCCGGCTTATGGTCACTCCATCAAAAGTTGACGTCATCCCCAAAATGGGATTTTTTTTAATGGACTGGACCAGTGTTTCAATGCGAATTATTATTATTATTATTGGGTTTTTTTAAAACAGCTCCGGGAAAGGAGGGTTGGAAAAAGAAAAAAAAATACATATGGTTTCGAATTTCACAGTATGACTTTTCCCGTGTAAATTTAGAGGAAAACCAAGAAGGAAACAAGAATTGGTAAAATTGACCAAGTTCCTTAGCAAACGGGTCCTTCGACGGTCTGAGACATCAGGAAAGTCTGGACCACTTGCTCAGTTGACTGAGGGCTGGTGCTGACATCCTCCAGGGCATCTGTGACTGAAAACTGCCGATCCCGCAATCTGTTCCAGTTGGCTAAGATATTGTGGTATTCAAATACTTTCTCGTAGTTGCCAATGGAGTTGTACAGTTTAATGAGGCCCCTGTAGTCATACTCTAGTCCACTGTAACCTTCCCCAAACAGCTTTTTTCCTAAAACAACAAAATTGGAAAAAAACCAAGAACCATATTAAAGGCTGCCGTATTAAAGTGTAGTTTCTGCATTTTAAAATTATAGATACAGAAATAATTTTTTTTTAAAAAAAAACAACAACTAGAAATTGTTTTTGGGGAGTATGAATAAATGGTTCTAGAAACGGACCCCTTCAGATTCTTCCAAGGAAGTTTGGACTTATAAGGGGGGGGGGGGGAATCCTGGAAGAACTCCAAAGTTTCTTTTTCTGGGAAGATGTCATCATCTCCAACAATTACAAAAAAAGCTTAACTGTTTGCTCCGAGCCCTCCATGATTCTTCCTGCTTTCTTTCTTCAAAGGGAATTTATATTAATTAATTACCTTAATTACATCCAATGATTAACCAGTTAATAATTTAGGTCTAAATTATAAATCGGGGATCCTACTTTAAATGCTTTAAAACGCACTGACCAGGAGAATCTAAGTGGTCAGGAGATCTCCCTACAGGCTTGCTTGAACTGGCTATAAAAATCTGTCTATTTAGCCATCCATCCATTTACTATCTATCTATCTATCTATCTATCTATCTATCTATCTATCTATCTATCTATCTATCTATCATCTATCTATCTATCTATCTATCTATCTATCTATCTATCTATCATCTATCTATCTATCTATCTATCTATCTATCCATCCCACCTATCCATCCCACCTATCTATCTATCTATCTATCTATCTATCTATCTATCTATCTATCTATCTATCTACCTACCTACCTACCTACCTACCTACCTATCTACTTACCCACCCACCTACTATTTATCTATCTATCCATCCCACCTTCTATCTATCTATCTATCTATCTATCTATCTATCTATCTATCTATCTATCTATCTATCTATCTATTATCTATCTC